GGTGAGGCAGAAACTGGACCAACAGCAACAGCATGGCATGCTGCAAAGTATCTCGACCCCGCCGAGAGTGGTGCGGTTATCCCAATCGTCCATGTCAATGGGTTCAAGATCTCCGAGAGAACGATTTATGGCTGTATGGACGACACAGAATTGGTGGCGTTGTTTACAGGGTATGGATACCAGGTACGCATTGTCGGAAACGAAGGACTAGATAGAATCGACGAGGATATGGCGGCGAGTATGGATTGGGCAGTGAAGGAAATCCGAAAGATTCAAAAGGCAGCAAGAGATGGAAATCCAATTTTGAAGCCTAGGTGGCCGGTACTGATCCTTAGAACACCAAAGGGATGGACCGGGCCAAAGAGATACAAGGGCCAGATTGTTGAAGGATCCTTTAAATCGCACCAGGTTCCAATCGCTGACGCGAGAGAGAACGAAGAGGGTCGAAAGACCTTGCAGGAATGGTTGAAGTCATACGTTCCAGCCGAATTATTCAATGACAAAGGCGAGCCGGTGCAGGAAATTTTGGACCTTATCCCGGACAACCCCATGGGACAACTCAAAGACACTTACAACGGATATAATCCAATTTCAGCGCCCGACTGGCAAGAGTTTGCAGTAGAGAAGGGAACACAGGCATCCTCCACGAAAGTTATCGGGGAATATCTCGACAAGGTCTTCTGCGAAAACCCCAAGGCAATTCGAATTTTCTCGCCCGACGAACTTGAAAGCAATAAGCTGTCCTCTGTTCTCGACCATACCTCCCGTAACTTCCAGTGGTCCCCATCTTCGCGGGCAAAGGGCGGTCGCGTTATCGAAATCCTAAGCGAACACACCTGTCAGGGCCTCTTGCAAGGCTACACACTGACTGGCCGGACGGCGCTCTTTCCATCATACGAGGCTTTCCTCGGCATTGTGCATACTATGATGGTCCAGTACAGTAAGTTTGTTAAGGTAGCTAAAGAGGTGCCCTGGCGGAACCAGAATTCCTCAATAAACTACCTGGAAACATCAACCTGGGCGCGACAAGAACATAACGGGTTCTCGCACCAGAACCCTTCGTTCATCAGCGCAGTATTGAACTTGAAACCGGAAATGGCAAGAGTTTACCTTCCACCAGACGCAAACTGCTTTCTCGCCACCCTTGAACACTGTCTCGAGAGTAGGGATTATACCAATCTTATGGTCGGGAGTAAACAGCCAACGCCGGTGTGGTTGAGCAAGGACGAAGCTCTAGACCATTGCCGTAGAGGAGCTTCGGTATGGAAGTTTGCTTCGACTGATGGCGGTGAAAAGCCAGATGTTGTTCTTGTTGGTATCGGAACAGAAGTGACGTTCGAGGTAGTGGCCGCGGCTGCGTTGCTGAAGAAGTTAGCGCCAAACTTCAGAGTACGCGTGGTTAATGTCACCGACCTGATGATTCTTGGTCCCACCGGATCGCACCCGCATGCCTTGGAAGAGAATCAATTCAACGAGCTCTTTACCAAGGACAAGTGGATCATAATGAACTACCATGGTTATGTGAATGATGTTGCTGGGTTGGTGTTTGGGCGGAGGGGTGTGGCGGAGAGGATGGTTGCTGCCGGCTACCGCGAGGAAGGTCAGTTTCCAATTCCCAGTTTAATCGGAAGACGGTAGTACTGATGGAAATAGGTTCGACAACTACGCCGTTTGACATGATGATTGTGAATAGAGTTAGTCGCTACCATGTCGCAATGGAAGCATTGCAGCGTGCAGGGCCAAATGATGCCGATGAGCTGGTCAAGAAGCTGCAAAAAGAATTGGACGTTACCAAGAAGTATATCATGGATAATGGTGAAGATGTGGAGGGGACCTACGATACCCCCAGTTTTGATTAGGCGGTGTATTAGAAGCATTTTCATTTGCGCAGCGCTGTTTTCCTAGTAATATACTGACGTTGTGGGATGATACTCCACGCCTTGAACCCAGTAAGCGCTTGATAGTCGTATGCACTCAACGTGATAACTTCTTGATTTCTATGAATTACGCTTCCGACATGGGAGTTACAGTCATTGTATTGGAGCACTTTTTTGTAACTACTAGCGAAATAATACAATTAAGCTGCTTCAAAAAAAGACCTCCCCGAGTAAACATGCCCGGTACTGTACATCATCGATTATTAACAATGCTAACTGTCACATAAATCATAATCAAAATGCTCTTTTCTCATCATCAAGGTACCCATCGCCCACTAAATTATCCAGCTCGTTTCTTGGGCTTGTCGGGCTGACCGCACCCATTTGGTTTATCGTTGACATCGTGCCCATTGGGCTCACCGAACTCATCGTATTTGACGGAACCTGTTGATATACCGGTGCCGTGTCGCTACCATCGGGTTGGTACTGCATATTTTGATTCCACATCTCTCTCTGGTTCGTTTCATCGCCATTGTCTAGCTCCACCGGAATGGGCATAGGCATGGTGACGGGCCTGGTCATAGTGCTCTGCCTACTTTCGCGCCAGGCTCCATGGGCACCGTTGAATTCGGACATGGGAGAACTCATTCGCCTGCCGTTTGAGGGATAAGTGTTTGGATCCGGATGCTGATGCCTCGAGTATCGATAGTCCGTCTCCGCTGCATCCTGGAATGCCGACTGAGGCGATGGATATGCAGATGGTTTAAATTCCGTGGTCTCGGTTGACGAGGCTGTGGTTTCCGAATCGGCATTTCTGGATGCTGACTTCTTTCTGCCTATCAAGAAGAATAATAGGCCAATTAAACTGACCGCTACTACTGCACCAATTACAATTCCTGCAATAGCCCCCCCTGAAGGAGTTTCACTGTTTCCTCTTGCTGCTGCTGTTGCTGCTGGTGGTGCTGGCTTCGAATCATTATGAGTCTCAATGTGATCACTGGGTGGTTCCTCGCCAGGACTCAGCGAAAACGACATTTTTCTTGCTCTGGATTTCAGGACTTCGATTTCGGAACTGTTGCGAGGATTTATTATCCCAACCATGGCATACTTCCAGGGTATTAGTGAAAAAGACACATTGTATTTTGGTATCATCACATACATTTATGCATGAGCCTGGAGCAGAGCAGTAGAAGTAAATTGGTTCTTTGTCGACAATCTTCAGAGTTTCACTCCCTAGTATTCCCTGTTTACTTGTTAAAATAATGTTCTAAAATTTATATCCAGGGAATCTTACATGTGACCCGGTCGTTGGGACATTTACAAATCCAGACCAATAGAACTTTTTGGACATTGTTGGATCTGTCCTGTTGACCGGTGCGCATGGTACTTCGTATGAGCCGACAACAACAGAATGGTTCTTGGGCCAAAACTCGAACACTAAATCGCTGTTAGACCAAGTACCAGTGTAATAGATGTTTTTGGTCGGCTTCAGCATACCGATTTCGTCCCCGATATTTGCAGTGTGTACGTCTGGGGTAAACTTATGATCATCCTATGGAGAATAGTTAGTTTTATAACACCTCTAGTCAACGGTAAACATACTCTTCCAACATGTATTTTTATGAGTTCACCCCCCGCAACCGTAGAAATAAAACATAGAAAAGCCAGGAGATTGGTCTTCATTTGTCCTCTACCAGAGAGCTACAAAGACTGTTGTTGCAAAATCCAACTCTGTCGGCCTGGAGTAGTGTCTGTAAACGAAGAAAAATAGGTAGTCAAGAAATGGTGTGGAGATTTAGAGATGATAAGAGTGTCGAATGGATTGTCCATGAGGTGTGGTAAAACGCCGAGACTCTTTGAAACAAGACCCCATGGCAATGCACGGTTGCGGCTCGACAGTAATGGTTATACCTAGTCATAGAGTTTAGCGTGTAATGTCCTAAAAGTATCTACAGTTTTGCCCTTGACGTTAGCCTTGGGTGGTCTTGGCAACTCCTGGTTTCAGCCAAAGGATTTAGACTGCCCTGAGTCTCCACATAGATTTCCTGAGGAAAAAGGCAAAGTGTATGTGTATCCATAACTTGTAGTCTTTTATTAGTAAGACGCTTGTGGTACGTCGAATGATAGATTTCAAGCAACTTCTGTGATCTACCCCTACTGTGTCACTTCGAAAGTGCCAAAAAGTGCTTAAAAATGACATATCCTAAGACAAACTATCGATAGTGATGAGGGGGCTGGTATCAATGCCTAGTTTGTGATTGTTTGGAAGTGCAAAAAAATGAGAACTCCTTGTGACATCAAACAAACACAATTCGCGACAAGATCAGAAGTGATAACTTATGTTAGTAACAAGAATATCAATACTGGTAAAAAATAGCCTCCATTTTTCCGGCATGCAATTCACACCGGAGAACAAAAGATGAGATTAGCACGTGTAGTTATCATCTTCCTTCGATACTGCAGTTTGCCATTGATGACTCCTCATAGGAAATCATTGTTGATATCAATTCTGCTATCCAAGATTGTAAAAGTATACTTTCCACACTACACCTCTGGTTATTCGGTCGTCGTATATTCTCACCGCTGCCACTTCCGTTGACGAATGCAGACACCACAATTCCCGATAGTCCTAATAAGATTTTTGTACATATACTGTTGGCGGCAATATGCCATGTGATGTAGGTATCCTGAATTCAGTGTATCCATGTTGTGTGAAACATTTTGCACTTCCCGATGGGTTGCATCACGGATAGTGGAGTATAAATCGGGAAGTCACATTGGTTGAATTAATACGGCTTTTCTCAAAAGAAAATGTAGTAGGAACTATTTCTTAGAAGAACTATTGTATATTGGGATAGCATGAAGGTATGACCAACTGAAGTTTGAATAAGGATTTGTGCTAGCGCTTTGTTAGATCATCACGCCGTGGGAGGAACCAAGGCGCCCCTCAGATGGGTGCTACCTACGCCACGCCCATGCAGACAGAAAGTCATTACCTGTAGAGACTGAATCGAGCTATTTATGCACAAATTTCGTGCATTTTTGGTCATTCATCCTTTACTATGTATGTCTTGCGTAACTTGCTTACAATACATATTTATATTGTTACCAATTTCTAACGACGGCCCTGTGGCCTAATGGTAAGGCGTTGGTTTTCGGTTTCTAAACCACCAAAGATTGTGCGTTCGAGTCGCATCGGGGTCGCTTTTTTGCTTTTTCTACAGGGTGGAGACATGGTGATGAGACATGACTGCATAACACTAGGTAGTTGCATATAACTATGTGAAGAATAGGATTAGCTAAGTCATTCACAAGCTATTGTCCAATTCGCGCGCCTTATGTGCCTTCCGCACGCTGCAATGGCCTCCCGCAGTCGGAGGGAACTAAAAGGCTAGACAACAACAATAATGTGGTGCGTATGGCACCGTACAGTTCACTCGAACTACTGATCAAACTGATCGAAGTTGGGACATAACTGGGCACAAAACCGTAATTTATCGTTCTGTGAATGTAGCCAGTCAAATCACTTCTGTGGCTGCGGATTTTTTTTTTTCAACAAAGATAAAGCTAAACAAATTAGCTTAGTGGGAAATCCAACTAATAATATCACCGGTCAAATTCTTCCAGTTTGATAGACCCCTACAGATGCAAATCCATACGCTTAGAGGCACGACTTGTTTTTCATATACACCCTTCTAGAGGGCGTGTTACTTTTCTCAATGTTGTTTTTCTGGCATAAATTTAGAGTGTTTTGCGCAGAATCCGAATCACGTTTCTACGACATCGACTCTACATGGATCGAATATGATATCTGCTTGATAAAAGTCGTTCTTGATTATTCAAAAATGATACTGATTATTTTTTACGGAACATTCATGCCCTAGACATGAACGTGGCGTTTTTTGTTTTTTTCAAGTAATCAGATCAAATGGATGTTGAGATGAAATGTCGAATGGCATTATTTACTTATGGATTATCTGCAGAATTCTAGGTAGCATTTATCGTAAAATCTGTGTACTATTATAAACGGAGTGCGAGAAATCCCTGTGAATAAAGAAATCAAGTTAAAACATAGACGTCTCATGTGTATCTCCATAGAATGCTGATAATTGAGTTTGTTTCTGACAATGCCTGTTTTGTCTAACATTGAGTTATGCAAGGGGTTTCATCAAACTAACGACCAATCGGGATTTTCCATTGATGACGAATAGATACATATACTACAGAATATCAAACAAAGAACATAATATACAAACGAAAAACAAAATACTGAAACGTATTGTAACTATCTCTAAGCATGAATCATCATAATTAATCTCAAATTCATCAAAGAGTCCATGGACGGAATGCACAGAGTAAGAAGCATTAACATTATTTAAAGGCAGGTACTTAGGACCCAAAAAAGGAAGGTTGAAAGTAGAAACTGATCAAAGTATTGAGCATTACAAAATTATTTGAAATCTGGTTGAACTGCATACTATAAGTGATGCACCCGGCATAGCTTATGGCCCAGCGATGGCAAGCTGCTTATTAATCAGCGCTTGCATTGAGTATATGTATGCGAAACACTTTGGGCCTTGCCACGAGCAACACTAAGGTTCTGTACGCGCGCGGAGACTGCACTAAAGTACTTCATACAACCTAGGTCCTTAACAGCAGCAGCGTTCTTCATCGACGGCGCTCAGTATCATTCTTACGTATCGCGGGATAGGACTCATCAGCGACAACAGAATCTTCGAGCGCGAGCTGCAAATCTCCGATCCGATCTGCACCGTTGCGATGCCGAGATTACCATCCATGCTGGCAACAGCCATTTTGGCCATGCTGTTCCTATTCGCGCCCTCGGCAGATGCTACTACGCTCACTTATAAGCTTAATGCGAACGAGAAACAGTGTTTCTACATCCACAACGAGAAAAAGCACGCAAAAGTTGCATTTTATTTTGCCGTGCGTACAGAGCCGCTATGTATCTATGCATGTTGATTAATGACGACTCGTAGGTTCAATCGGGGGGTGCATTCGATATAGACTACCTGGTAACAGGTCCACACGACAAAATCATCGTTGACGGGACAAAAGAGCGACAAGGTGATTTTGTTTTTACTGCCAATGAGGTCGGCGAGTATTCGTTTTGCTTTAGCAATGATATGTCGACATTTGCCGAGAAGATGGTCGATTTCGAGATTACCGTCGAGAACGAGGCACGAGCCGAGCTTCCATCGAAGCAAGGAACTTCCCCAGAGCATCTTTCATCACTTGAGGAATCACTGTTCAAGATATCTAATCAGCTTTCCACTATTTCGCGCAACCAGAAGTACTTTCATACTCGTGAAAATCGAAACCTTTTCACCGTTCAATCTACCGAGTGGAGGATATTCAATTTTTCCGTCCTTGAGTCATTAACAATGGTGGTTATGGCTGTCTTGCAGGTGCTTGCGGTTCGATATCTTTTTCAGGGCTCGCGAAAAGGTAAGCTTTCATCTTTCTTGATGGCTGGTCCGACCGGCGCGGCGGCCATGCCCTTACACTACCCTGATTAGTGCTGAAAGTATACTCTAGGCTATGTGTGAATGTGACACTTACCCTTATCTTACTTTGGATCACGTTTCTTTCCTTCCAGACATTTATCTGAAGGGCAGCGAAGTCATAGGTTAACGGATGATACCATAGTGTGTTGGCGTTGTGTTTTGTGTTCGGGATTAAGCGAGAGAGGTTTTGCTTTTGCATTTGGAGTTTGTAGTTGATTGGGGTTCAGTGGGACAGTATCGTTATATCCTCGTGATGCCATTGCCGTATTATCAACGATTAGAATGTGGCGCATCAGTCTTCCGTTCTAACATAAGTTAGTCAAATGCGTATTTTGAGGTTGTGCTACACCCAACACCCTTCATTATTCAGTAAGTACCGCATTATTGTCATCTAAACCTTGGATACCCAGAAATGGGGTTCTGGAAAAATTGTCCTTCAGCAAGGAATCCAGTGCCGGCGAATCCAAGATATCATGCCTCCCACGATCATCCAGTTGCCATGGCACTGAGATACTAGTGGAGGTTTTAATTAAGCGGTTCAAAAACTGCATAAATGTTTACATTTACATTTTACATTTTCATCATACACCGTTCGAGGCCTCTAAGGCCTATGCGGGAAACTAATTACCAACTCGGCACTGCCTAGTCCTGTCCTCGAGGCCGGAGCCTCCTAATGAGGCACCCTGATCTCCTAATCCCTAATCGTCCCCTCTAACTGCATAAATTATGGGCAGTACCGCTATGCATCTCACAAGGACGAGTGCTATTTCGTGTTTTCCCGGCGGGTAAGTCTATCACGTGTTATAGCCTGAATACTGGTCGTATCATCAAATGCTTCCAATCTAGAATGCAGCCATTCATATGAAGTTCAACGGATGATTGGATTTCATTTTAAATTCATAGCTCTAAACCAATATCTTCTGGAATACATCTACCTCTGCCAGGTCTTGGAACTTCCATGCATCCGTCAGGGCATGAGCCACGTGGAGAGAACTGCCATGCAAACAGAGCATCCGTCTCGTTTGTCAAAATATTACCGATAATTGCGGTTTCTGACTTGAAAGTACTGGATTTTTGGAACACCTCATGCGATGAAATTTCAATTTGACCCCAGCCTTTTACTTTTTAGTAGTGGTTCTCATATACGGCACGGGATTTGTAGGGACATACCTTGGCTCATTAGCTTCTCAATTGATGTCCCATAAATGTATTCCTTAAACCCGGCCCATCTGATGGCAGAGGCACACTAAATGGCCCCAGGTTAGTCTGTGTGCATGTGGAGTTGTAAGATTCAAACACACCATAGGACAGGCTTCTGCATTGGTATAGAGACTTAAATCTTTCCATCCACCGGATTCTCCAAGAACTTTTGTACACTCAGCTATGGCTGCCATCTCTCCGTGAAGATGCGGATATGCGTTGTGGATGTTATTCATGTTGCGTCCCTTGCATATAATCTTGGGTACTGTAGCGGTATGGTTGACAATTACTGCACCGAATGGATATCGCGGGCATGGAGATCTCAGCGCAGTGAATGTTTCTCGCATGAAATGCTCACGCACATCTCGTGAAATCTCCATGGGAGCTTTGCTTGCGAGGACAAGACAGATTTGCGGGATGAAGAAAATGATATTGAAAAGCGTGGAGAAGGGCATGTTGGTTGAGATAATGATGAATATTACAGTGTGGGGAAACTGATGACTTTTATAATTGATGTAAGAAATTTCATACAAGGGGATTTGGTGGCCAACACTTCAAAGAGTGTTGCGCTATTAGACATCGCAGTACAGAAACAAGCACGGCTGTTACACACAACAGTGTATATTGATACCCTTATCACAGGGAAACAAATATCTGTGCTAAAATAGCGATTTCTAATATCCCTACAATGGTAGAAACCATATGGCTATGGCGGGACAATAATTGGATCAAACTACATGCTCCTTCAGTCAGATAAGACAAGTCAAATAAGGTCACACTACTAAGTCACGTTGCAAATCCAAGTTTAAGGAATGAAAAGACCACAGATTCTGTAGAGGTTCTACAGTCACCAATAATAGCACCATATGAACTTCAATCAATCATATACGGTAACCGATTATAGAACTTTATGATTTGTTACTTTGATGTAGTCTTAATAATGGCAACTTCAGTCCATTATATGCGGCCATTTTGGATAATGGGGCCGTGTGGTTTTGCTATATCTATCAAGTGTGTTGATTATACTGTTCATAATGCGGTGTTTTGCTGTACAAACAGAAGCTGCCTCTACATAAACCTTTGCCGCAAAGTAATGCTCAATCTCATAGAACCGTACATTCTAAGTCCCTTCAAAATCTCCAAGTCCACCATTTTTTTTTTAACTATGCCGAACTACCTATTATCCAAAATAAGTATGCAATGATAACAAGCCGGCAGATTTATCAGGTCATTGGGGTTATTCATGACGTATAAAAGTGAATATTTAACACCTCTGCAAAATATTTGTGTAACAGGCATAAGTGCTGTAGGCATGCAGTCTCCGTGAGTTACCCGAAAAAAAGAAAATTGAAACCACCTGAATAACGCATGCTTATGTGTCGTATACCAAATATATTCTACCTGCTATATCGAGAATTGAGTCATTTGTTACTGCCCCCGATTATTTCCAGGTTGTGATGATACCCTCGGGAATTA